AAAAGATAAACTGGAATTCTAAAAATATATTCAAATATTCCAAAAGAACACAAGTAAGAGGGACACAGAGAGATGAAAAATAGGCAGAACAAATAGTAAATAAGTAATAAAACGGTAGATCTGTGTCCAAACATATCAGTCTTTACATTAAAAATAAATGGTTTAGGGGCACCTGGGTTTCTCAGGTGTAAGCAGCTGACTCTTGATCTCAGCTCAGGTCTTGACCTCAGGGTTGTGAGTTTAAGCTCCATGTTGGGCTCCATGATAAGTGTGAAGCCTCCTTAAAAAAAAAAAAATGGTTCAGATACATCAATTAAAAGAGATAATCAGAGGGGCGCCTGGGTGGCTCAGTCAGTTAAGTGTCCGACTTTGGCTCAGGTCATGATCTTGCAGTTTGTGGGTTTGAGTCCCGCATCGGGTTCTGTGCAGGCAGCTCAGAGCCTGGAGCCTGTTTCAGATTCTGTCTCCCTTGCTCTCTGCCCCTCCCCCACTCATGCTCTGTTTCTCTCTGTTTCAAAAAAAAAAAAAAAAAGAGATAATCAGAATGGGTAAAAGATGACTTAAATAGATGTGTTTTATAAAAAACTCACTTTGATATAATGATATAGGTAAATCAAAAGTAAAAGATAGAAAAATATATACCATGCAGTCACTCATCAAGAGAAAGCTGGAATGGCTTAGGATGAGAAAAAGTAGACTTAAGCAAAGAAAACTACCAGGGAGAAAGAGAATCATTATACAAAAATAAAAGGGTCACTTACCAGGAAGATATAATAATTGTAAGTGTGTATGCACTGAATAAAAGAGCTTTAAAATACATGAAGCAAAAACTGTCAGAACTGAAAAGGAAAGATACAGATTCACAATTATAGATGCAGAGTTGAATACTCTTTTCTCAGTCATCAGAATGAGTAGGCAGAAAATAAGCATGGAGGAGAAGTAAACAGCACTATCAATCAACTAGGTCCGATCAACATTTATAGAACATTTCACATAACAACTGCAGAATATATTCTTTTCAAGTCCCATGGAACACCCACCAAGAGAGACCCTTGGCTGGGTCATAAAACAAACTTTAACACATTTAAAAGAATCAAACTCATTTAAACATGCTCTCTGACCAAAATGATTTCGACTAGGAATAAATTACAGAAAGGTCACAGGAAAATCTCCCTTGGGAATTAAATAATATCCTTCTAAATAATCTATAAGTCAAAGAGGAAGTCTCAAAAGAAATTAGAAAATACAATGTATCAAAATTTGTGCAATGCAGCTAAAGCAGTACTTGGAGGGAAATACATAGCGTTAAGCTTTACATTAGAAAAGAAGAAAAGTCTCAGATCAGTTAAGCTTCCACCTTAGCAAAATAACTCAAAGCAAGCCAAAGGAAGGAAATAATAATCAGAGCAGAAACTAACAAAATTGAAAAAATAAAAACAAAGGAGAAAACCAATGAGACCAAAAGCTGGTTCTTTGAAAAGCCAATAAAGTTAATAAGTCTCTAGTATGACTGAAAAGAAAAAAAAGAGAGAAGACACAAATTAACAGTATCTGGAACAAAAGAGGGTTTATTACTACGGACCCTGTAGACATTAACAGGATAATAAGGGAATACTCCAAACAGCTCTATACATATAATCACCAATTTAGATGAAATAGAACAATTCCTTGAAAACTGGAAACTACCAAAAGTCACCCAAAATGAAATAGATAACTGAATACCTCACAACTATTTTAAAAATTGAATTCATAAACCTTCCTAAATATAAATTTTCAGATCCAGATCACCATTCATTTCGTGAGTTCTACCAAACATTAAAAAATAAATAACACTAATTCTACATCTTTTCTTCCAGGAAAATAAAAAATAAAAGAGGAAGAAACACTTTCCAAGTAATTTTATGAAGCCAATATTACCCTGATACCCAAACGAGAAAAAGACAGTTTAAGAAAAGACAAATCCCCTCATGAACCAATATCCTTCATGAACACACATGCAAAAATCCTAAACAAAACATTAGCAAATCCATATGAAAACATGCTCAACATCATTTGTTATTAGGGAAATGCAAATCAAAACTATAAGATATCATTTCACATTAACTAAGATTGCTGTAATTAAAACAAAAGAGATAATAATAAGCAGTAACAAGGATTTAAAGAAATTGGAACTCTCACACATTGCTGATAGAAATGTAAAATGGTGCAGCTACTTTGGAAGACAGCTTGACAGTTCCTCAAAAAGTTATTATATGACCCAGCACTTAGGTGTATATATCCAAGAAAGATGAAAATAAATACCCACAAAAATTTATATGCCAATGTTCATAGCAGCATTATTCACGATAGTCAAAAAGTGGGAACCACAAGTCTACCAACTAATGAATGGGTAAACAGAATGTATATCCATATAATGGATTTGGCCATTGAAGAGAATGAAGTACAGATACATTCTACAATGTGGATAAACCTTGAAAACATTATGCTAAATGAAAAAAGCCAGACACAGACCATACACAGTATGAGAGTCAAAAAGTGCATTAGTGGTCCCAGGAGTTGTGGGGAAAGAGAGAACGGGGAGTGAATGTAATAAGTATGGGGTTTCTTTTTGAGTTTTGAAAATGTTCTAAAATTAGATAATGGTAATAGTTGCACTATTGAATATACTAAAAATCATGAAGTGAACACTTTAAAAGGGATGAATTCTATGGCATGTAAATTATGCCTCAATAAAGCTGTTAAAATAAATTCACAAATTGAATCCAGAGATACATCATAGCTTAGTAGAGTTTATCCTGGAAAAGCAAAACTGGTTAAATATTAAGAAATCATTCAGTGTAATTCACCGTATTAACAGTCTAAAGAAAAACCTCATCAACCTATCAATTCAGAAAAACTGTTTAACAAAATTCAACCTTGATTCATACACACACACACACACACACACACACACACACACCTCTCAGCAAACTAAGAATAGAAAGGCATATCCTCAACCTGATAAAAATTATTTCTCCCTCCCCAAACCAGTTATAGCTAATATCATACAGAAGGGTGAAAGTGAATACTTTCTTCCTCACACTGGAAACAGACTGACCAGGAAGAAATGAAACTGTCCTGATTTGTATACAGCATGACTGTCTATGTAGAAAATCCCTAGGAATCTACAAAAACCAAACTCCTAAAACTAATTTTTAAGTCTAGCAAGGTCACAGAATACAAAACTAATCCACCAAAGCCAACGGTATGAATGACAAAATTATGGAGATGGAGAACAGATTAGTAGTTACCAGAAACTAGGGTGCCTATGGCTTCAAAAAGGTATGAACAAGTGATCCTTGTGATGGAATTACTCTGTTTCTTGACTGTGGTGGTGGTTACCTGAAGCTACATGTGTATTAAATTGCACAGAACTAAATACACACAGTGAATGTAAAACTGGTGAAGTAGGAGTAAGGTGAATGGATCAATGTCAGTTTCCTGTGATATTGTATTAAAATTATGCAAAAACTGGGGGAACTGGGTAAAGGTTATATAAGATCCTTCTATATTATATTTGACAGCCACATTGTGTCCTACAATTATGTCAAAATAAAAAGTAACAAAGGGCCAGCTGTAAATCTCATACTGCTAGTGTGAGTGCAAAAAGGTACATCCACTCTGGAAAATAATTTGATAATTTCTTATGGAGTTAAACATGCACTTACCATAGGACCCAGCAATCCCACTGTTAGATATTTATCCAGAGAAATACACTTATACTCACACAAGAACTGTATGAGCGTGTACTCAGCAGCCCCATTTATAATTGTCATAAACTGCAAACAACTTCAATGTCCTCCAGGGGCACTGAAATGGATAAATAAACTGCGGTATATCCAGACAACAGAATACTACTCAGCAATGAATGGTACCAAACCACTGATACATGCAACCACTTGGATAAATCTCAAAGGCATTATACTGGGTCAAAGTCTCGAAAAGGTTACATATTATAGGATTCCATTTATATAACACTTAAAAAAAAAAGAAAACTATAGTCATGTAAAAGAGTGGTTGCACGAGTTAGGTTGGGGGAAGGGACTGGTTACAAAGGGATAGCACAAGGGAACTTTTTGGGTGATGTTACTGTTGGCATCCTGATTGTGGTGGCGGTTATAGGAATCTAGTCATGTGTTAAAAGTCACAGAACTGTGTGCCAAAATGAAAAAGTCAGTTTTTCTGTATGTTAATTTAAAAAATAAAAGACTTTTTTTTTTGTTTTGTTTTTGGATTTTAAATCATGTACCTTTAAAAGAATAAAAGACATTTTTAAAAAGGCAACTTTGACATTTCAATGTTATAATTAATACATTCAAAGGCGCCATTTAGAATTTCATTTGCAGGATAACTCTAGATACAAGGAGATTTAAGAGAGTAGTATCAGCTTCACTTTATAGCACAGTATGGAGCTCAGAGAGCATTACATGAAAATTTCCTAACTCACACTTGAACCAAGAAAAAAGAAAGACAATGGTTTTAATGTTAAAAATGCTCAGTAAACACCAAGTAAAAGAACATTTATTTTTATGACCTTTACTTCAATTGTAGCTTCAGAAAACATGCGGAATGAGTGTCTCCTAATTTTTTTTAACATAAGAGATTTAGATTTGCTGAAACACGACTGGTAGTTATAGTAATCATTAAATAGTAAATAAAATGTTAAATAACCCATAAATAGACTAAAAGCCACTCAGATAATTTAAAACAAAGATGAATTTTAGAACTTTTAAATTAGGATGTTAGATTAAAAAGCATGGCATTAGGTCAAATCAAGGATGATTTGCATCAGAATCAAATAAATTATTGCCTGTGGGGAAATGAGATAGTAATTATTAATTACTCCCATACAATTTAAGTAAATAACCCCACATAAAATACTTTTAAAAATATCCTTACATGTTTTTTGAAGGAACACAGTATTTAAAAAAATGTATTCTAAATGCAATATTCAGGTCAGGGAAATGGTGACTACTATACATTCAAGTTAGCTAAGTTAAAAATGCTACTTAGCTACAATTAAGTATTTCTGTAAGCATACAGGTTTCCAATTCTGGCTGTGATTCTTTTGACTTGACAACCATGAAATAGGCGGTCGGCTTATATATGAAATGGATCAGACCTCCAACTGCTTCTAGACAGCTTCTGCGTTAAATTGAGCCATCGACACAGAACTTCCAATAATGACATAAATCTGCATCCTTCACATTTTATGGAACATTGGTCCCACTGTAGCTACAATGTCTGCGTAGGGAGCACTCTGGCTCAGCTCAATAGCCTGCTGTTTCTTTAGGACGAGAAAGCTGTAGAATTTGGCAGCGGCTTGTTTCCGGTCACTGTGTCTGCAGAGCTTCATCAGACTAAAGTACTGCATTCCCTTCTTGTTGGATTCCTGGAAAAATAATTAGAAAAGAAGAAAGGAAAGAGAAACAACATCACTGTAAGTCCAGCAGGCTGCGGGTGCATGATGAATAAAATATTGGTATTCTTGAGAAGTGAGTGTGAAATCCTTAAAGGAGGAAATGCAAATGAGTCATTAGTAAATTTAAAAAAACCATCATAGGTCATTGAATACAAGCTTGGTTCATTGAGAAAATGCCCGCAAAAAGAACTTTTGAAGTGTTATTCCAATTTCTAACGTGTTATAAAATGTTAGCTCTTTTAGAAATTTGATGTTAACATAAATAAATGGCTTGTGTAGAAGTGCAGTTGGTTTAAACTTGTAGGCAGGACTTTGGGGGGCTTTAGATACGAGAATTATCAGCCTTATCAGACTCCTTTTTCTTAAAGGTACTGGGGAGTGGGAGTGATTATAAACAACTATAGTGATAAATGTAAAATTATATTTATATATCTTAGTGGTGGAGGAATATGACTTTATAAACACCTCCCGGTTTTTTTGACATAGGTCAAAAAGGTATTGGACTCACCATAGGGCACCTACGAACCTACTAGAAAAAGTTGAGATACAATAAGGAATTTAGTTATGGATAAAGATAACTCCTTTTATGAAGACTAGTACTTGGAGTCAGATTTCTAGAATAGAAGTACAGTATAGGTTTTTTAGTTAGAAATACTGTGATCCCTTGGGTATCTTACTCCTTGGACAGTGTGAAGTATTTTTAGAAATAGCATATACAGGTGGTCTTTTTTTTTTTTTTTTGGCTAATTCATAACATTCAGCAAATTAATAAGTTAAACAGTTAATCATATTTTATCTCAACAAAAGGAGTGTATGGGTATCAGCAACCTTTCAGAAATTGCATGCCAAACCTTCACTTGTCCCTTCTTGAGGAGAGAAGATGTGGGTTTTTCCCATGGGAGAGAGCAGGGACACCCTTCTCGATTTCAAGAATCCTTCTGAAAAACACTCCAAGGAAACAAGTATGCCAGACTGAACCCACTGGCGCTTATTTATTCTGTTCCCTCCAGAAACCCCTCTAAAATGAATGTAAAAGAGTAAAAGGTGACAAAGGAAGGAGATAAAGACAAATAAACTGAAAGACTGACTTTGCAGAGTAGAGGAAGCTAAAACGTAGGTGACAACAGGGAGCAAAGCCAGCAAAAAGCAAGCCAGTGTGAGCTACAGAACCTTGGAGAAGCTTAGGAATTGGAGGCAACAACTGTTTAGGACGGAGATAAGAATTTCTCAAAAGTCTACGTGGGCGCAGTTAGAGGTGCACTCCACCACTTCCCCGAACCACTGCTCCAATACCCTGTCAGGAGGCAGGAAGGTGTCTTTCTAGAGATCCTAACCACTAAGGCTCTAGAGCTGGGACACCAGGCACTGTGGCTTACCACAAACTGGGGGATTAAGTGAAATGCTACACAGACAGACGGCCTCTCCCTTACCTACTCTTCGTTCCTGAACCACCAGCACCATCCTTTTATCTTCTAGGCCGTAGATCTGAAGATTTAGCTGGGAAATATGACCGTGGAGGTGGTGCTTAACGGACGATGGCACATGCATGTGTGTTTGTGTGTGTGTATGCAGGGGGTGCTGCCCAATCATCTCACCATAGAGGCCGTATGTCTACAAGACCACCCTTGTTTATATAACTTCCGATCTGGGAGCACCTGGGTGGCTCAGTCGGTTAAGCGTCCGACTTTGGCTCAGGTCATGATCTCACAGTTTGTGGGTTCGAGCCCCACATCGGGCTCTGTGCTGACAGCTAGCTCAGAGCCTGGAGCCTGCTTCAGACTCTGGGTCTCCCTTTCTCTCTGACCCTTCCCTGCTCACGCTGTCTCTCTCTTTCTCTCTCAGAAATAAATAAAAACATTTAAAGAAAAATAACTTCCAATCGATTTTGGCTGTCTCACTCTTAAATACAAACAGATAACCAAAGACCTACCAGAAATCTGAGTGTAATTTCTAACATTCAAGAGCAAAAAAAAGAATGCATTCAAGAGAATCACTAAGCAAACAGAGACAATGCAGGGAGCAGAGGAAGACTATAACCTATGAAAGAGAAGACTCTGTCTATATAACATGATGAGGATGATTACTGAAAGAAAGCAGATTAGTGGGTTGCTGGGGGGTGGTGGGGTTGGGTGGAGAGACCAGTGGGAGAGATGGGACAAAGAATTATCAAGGGGCACAAGGAAACTTTTTGGGGCTATAGACATATATGTTCACTATCTTGATTGTGGTGATGTTTTCATAGGTGTATACAGATGTCAAACTGTTCTACTGTATTTTATTTATTTATTTTTTAAAACATTTTCTTTTTAATTTATTTCTGAGAGAGAGAGAGAGAGACAGACAGACAGACAGACAGACAGCATGATCAGGGGAGGGTCAGAGAGAGAAGAAGACACAGAATCCGAAACAGGCTCCAGGCTCTGAGCTAGCTGTCAGCGCAGAGCCTGATGCAGGGCTCAAACCCATGAACCGTGAGATCATGACCTGAATCGAAGTCAGGCACCCAACCGACTGAGCACCCAGGCGCCCCTGTTCTACTGTATTTTAAATAGGTATGATTTATTGTATTTTAATAATACTTCAATAAAGCTGTTAAAAAAGTAAATACATAAATGAAAAGATGAGGATGCTACAAAACAAAACGATAATTAATAACTAAGAAAAACTCTTGGAAAACAAAAAATATGAAAGCAGAAATAAAATTCAATAAAAACTAGAAGATAAAGTTGAAGGGAATTAATATAAGGAATAAAAGATTTTTTTTAATGTAAAAGGTGCGATTCAGGGGATCCAACATCTGATCCATAGACAATTCAGAAAGAACAGAGTAACATCAAGGAGGAAATTTAAGAAATACAATTTCCTAGAATTCAAGGACCTGAACTTTCAGAATAAAGAAACCACTACATGGTCAGCACAATAAATGAAAAAAGACCGATTTCAAAACACATCACCATGAAATTTCATTTCAGACCACTAGGAGTAAAAAAAAAAAAAAGATCTTGAAGTTTCCAGAGAGAAAATAAAGGTCGCCTACAAAGGACAGCCAACCAAACAGCATCTAATTTTTCAGTAACAACGCAAGAAGCCTAGACGTGTTACAAAGCCTTCAACATCTGAAAGATGCTATTTTCAAACTAGGTTCAGAACATCCAATCAAGTTAAAGGTAAAATAAAGGAATTTTCAGACTTATATATAGGGTGTCTATCTCCTATGCACTCTTTATCTCAGAAAATTATGAGAGGATGTCAACCACCAAAAAGTTCAAAGTAAAGGAAGACAGACCAACGCATCAAGAACTAGAGAAACTAATATAGGAAAGAGACAAAGGAACTCCCATGTTACGATATAGGACGGTTCCCAAGACAAAAACTATGGAAAAACCTAGAAGGCAACTAGTCTAATTAGAACAAGAGGATGATGAGCTCTGGAAGGAGTATCTTCAAGAAAAAAAAAATGGAACTGATGAATCATTTGATACATTTAACCATACTAAAAGGGGTTTCATTATATTGTCAGAGAATTTTTAAATAGGATTAAGGGTGAGTATATAGACACTAAGCCAATGGGGAAAATGAAGCAATGATTAAAAAAAACCAAAAAACAAAAAAAAAAAACCCACAACACTTTAAACAGGTAAGAAAAGAAATGCAATGACACTAATTTTTACATAGTCTTTGGGGGCTTTTTATTTAAAAAAAATTTTTTTACGTTTATTCATTTTTGAGAGACAGAGCATGAGCAGAAAGGGGCAGGGAGATTGGGAGACACAGAAGCCGGAGCAGGCTCCAGGCTCTGAGCTGTCAGCACAGAACTTGACGCCGGGCCTGAACCCATAAACCGCGAGATCATGACCCGAGCTGAAGTCAGACTCTTAACTGACTGAGCCACCCAGGTGCCCCTACATATTAACAGTGACTGCTGATTGTCCCTTAATATCCATTTTTGTCTTCTTCCAAAGGAATAGAATTACTAGCTGGGCCCAGGGCTGCCAGACAAAGACTACATTTTCCAGCTAGATGTGGCAAGGTGACCAAGTGCTGGGCAATGAAATTGGAAAGTGATACAGAGAATCTCTGGTTGTACACTTAAAGGAAATTTTGTTGCTGAACCGAAAGCAGACATGGGGGGTACTACCCATTTTTGATCCTGAGAATAAAGAAAATGAGATAAAGGTAACCTAGGTCTCTGACATTCTGTGAGCATAGCACCCATACCAGGTTTACTTTATCTTTTTAAACCATTGGTATTTTGGCTTTCTGTCAAAATCAAACCTGCATGGGGCGCCTGGGTGGCTCAGTTGGTTAAGCATCCGACTTCGGCTCAGGTCATGATCTCACAGTTTGTGGGTTCGAGCCCCTCCTCGGGGTCTGTGCTGATGGCTGGCTCAGAGCCTGGAGCCTGTTTCGGATTCTGTGTCTCCCTTTCTCTCTGACCCTCCCCTGCTCATGCTGTCTCTCTCTCTCTCTCTCTCTCAGAAATAAATAAAACATTTAAAAAAATCAAAATCAAACCTGCATCATAACTGTTACAATTATAACACTGTAAACACTGAATATTGTGTTAAAAACAGACTGAGGTGGGGGAGATACAACTCAGCTAAATATTCATTTTATGTTGAAAGAAGTCAGCAGGTAAAATTTAAAGCTGAAATATCAAGAAAGAACAGTAAGAACATGTAATTGGAAATAGAGATATAAATGCTAAAAGAAACAGCTTAACATAGCTGCCTCTGGCGAGCCGGACTTAGAGATAAGGAGGGGTTAGGACAAAAAAACTTCTGTGTTTTCTTTTCATTCTTATAGCATAGAACTATTGAACTTTTAAAATTATATACATGTATTGTTTTGGTAAAAATGTAATTAAAATTTAAAATTATCTGTTTTATTCTTACTCTATTATTTTCTTTAAGAAAGAGAGAGAAAGAGAAAGAGAGTGCATGAGTCGGGGAGAGGAACAGAGCGGGAGAGAGAGAGAGAGAGAGAATGAATCTTTAAGCAAGCTCCATGCTCCTTGTGGAGCCCAACACAGAGCTCGATCCCAGACCATTCGGTCACAGCCCTGGGATTATAATCCAAACCCAAATCAAGAGTCAGACACTCAACCTACTGACTCACCCAGGTGCCCCGCTCTTACGCTATTATAAATTGAGTTCCATATAGAGAATTAGTTGATAACCTACTAAGCCCAAGAATGAGACACTATATGTCTAGAAGTATGAGGATAAGTAAGAAGTTGATTAGAATATGCAGGCAGTGAAAGCAAATTCCCGTGGTTAGCCCTGGGTATACTGCTCAGAATAATTTCCTCCTAATGGAATTTGGTCTCAACAAAAAAATAAGGAAAATGATTTTTTTTAAAGTTTATTTATTTTGAGAGAGAGGGTGAGAGCACGTGCAAGTCAGGGAAGGGCAGAGAGCGAGAGAGAGAGCGAAAGAGAGAGAATCCCAAGCAGCTCTGCCCTGGCAGTGTGGCTGCATGTTGACGGTGGGGGCTCGAATTTACCAACTGTGAGATCATGACCTGAACCAAAACCAAGACTCGGACACTTAACTGACTGAGCCACCCAGTCACCTCAAAAACGATTTCGTTTTTAGTAATGTCTAGAAGATCCAAGGCAATGTTTTATTTATTTTTAACAACAAAAATAGGATTGACAAACCCTAGCATCTTACCCGCAATCTATTTAACATCTGAAGAATTCTTCCCTTCCATCTCTCTGCCTCAGTATTTTGTTGACTCTCCAAGGACTCCTGTTTGAGTGAATAATAAAATACCTCAATGAAACACATTTTACCAAATGCTTACTATTTGCTAAGCACAGTGTTAGCTGCTACAGGAAACCCAACTATAATACCGGGTCCTGCTATAAATAAGGAGCTTATGGTCTGACAATAGAATATGAAACATACAACCATATGAACCTCTACTCCCTAGGTGATGAGGGGCTCCAGAAGGGGAGATTCCGCAGTCTTTATTGGTAGTGCGTCCCAGGGCACTGTGGCCTTACTTTCAAACGTAAAGTCAGAAGTGACTTTTGGTTAGGACTATCCCAGCTCTGGCCAATTTGAACTGAGTTGACAGGGTAAACATAAAGCTGTAGAAAAAGTGCCTTGTCAAGGCCTTTATCTGAACTTACCTGGTGATACAGAGGCTCTAATTAATAAGTGATGCTTGGCAATTTGTGTACAGTTGGGTGAGAACCTTTTGGATTTCGAAGGTAACCTGTCCAAAAAAGATCAACCCACTTCCTCTCATATTATCCGAATAGATTCATTCTTTTTGGTCTTTAAAGCTTAGCCACCTTCAGAAACACCTCAATATTTAAAAATTGTCAAGTTGAAATCCCTCACAGGAACTCACTCTAAGCTCTTATCTACTAACACTTGATAAGCTGAGAACAAAATCGGGCATAGGAAAGGTGCTGATGAATCTGACAAAAGAGCAGGCCTACAGAGCGCAGGGGTGGGGGGCTGTAGGGAGGAAGGTGGCACAGATCTGACCTACTTTGTAATTTTTCCCAGGCTAGCTCCGGCCATGTGACCCGATACCTTCTGTGTCATCCTTATCAGAGGTGCACTGTTTGTCAAGCCTCCGTGCGCACCTTTGAATCCCAGATACGTCCTACAGTGTTTTCAATTTCAGACTCCGAGATGATTTCAGAAAGTTCCAGAATATCCTGGATAGTATTTTAAATCATTTGGAGCTAAGGGGACCACCGAGTCCTCACTCCTACTAGCTGTACTGGCTTCCTGGTCCTGACTATATAGCATCCCTTCTTACACTGCAAAGGGAGTGATCTGAAAATATGGCCACTTTATTCTGAAGAGTTTTCCAAATTCCTCCAGGTACAATTTACTTTTATTTCTTTCTGGTCTGCCCTGGGATCAGTGAGTTCACCCAATTAGTAATGTTTATTATATTGTTAAATACACAAATGCTGTTTTTCAAATAGAAAAAGCAGTGGCCCAGCTCTTTGTTAAAGACGCAGGAGACGGCAGCTTCGCCTATACTGCACAACGAAACTCAGGGGGAAAAGGCTCGGAAAAAATAGTCTATGCGCTTTGCTGAAGCCTGTCTACTTGATCTATCTGGACACCCTACAGCTGAATCCATTGTGTGGAAAGCCGGGCGGATTATTAAAACAGCTGAACTTGTGCTGTGTTGTGGTTTGCTTGACCATGTATGAAAATAACCTGTGTCTGTAGAAGCAAAGAGAAAGGCGAAATTAACCAACTCTCTTCTACCTTAGCTGTTTGGATGTTTCAGGTAGAAAATTCAGGTATCTATCCTGTCCTAGATTATCCGAAGAATTCAGTGTTTTCCACGTATGAAAAAACAATCCAATAGTCTTGGAACTCATTATTAAGATAGTTTATTTAAGGACAGCTTGTATATGGCATGAATAGCTATTCTGATATTATTTAATAAGAACCTTTGATTAAAATTCATTACAGTCTTAAAAATGCCTTCAGCACGGTGATACAAGGACTAGAGAAATAGGACAGTCAGGTGAGTCCACGTTACTTCTGGCTTTGCTGTTGAATTGTGGCCCTTTCAGCAGACCATTTTCTCTTTCTGATCTCTAGAAATCTCTGACAGATATAGGCCTTGAGCCATATAATGTTGTGGATAAAAATGTTTTTTTTTTTTTTATTTGTAAATGAAGTAAAATTTCAAATGCCCCAGGACGTACCTCTAATATAGCTCTGTTTCTTTAAAGCTGTTACAAGAATAACTTAAAGCAGTGATTCTCAATATTTTTACCTTTGACTACCTTTGATAATATAAAAATCTCACAATTTTCTTTAAAATTATTTGAAGTTTCAAAATAAATTAAAGAAAAAAGGTTCAAAGCAATTCTGAGTATGTTTTATCAAACTATTGACACACCTCTTTGTTGAGATCACTAATTTAAACAGTAATTCGAGAAAGTAACATGACAGCTCTAAAACCAATTTTCAGGTAAATAAGGTGTTAACTACTTAGGAACAAAGTTTTTAAGAACATTCTTGAGACTCTGCATATATTTACCAATTCAACTGGACTATTTTCAATGTCTTGTGCTAAGATGCCATTCATTAAAGAGGATTCCTCAGCAGCTGAAGATACCATTTCAACAATATCCTCCTAAAGCAAATTAGGGAAAGACAGGTAGGTCATCACAGTAGTAGTAGTTATCATAGGAACAATTTTATTTTGTTAAATGCTTTAATCACATAATGCTCCTTTCTAAAACTAATTTATTTTAAATTTTATTTATTTACTTTTAGAGAGAGAGAGCACAAGCAGCAGAGGGGCAGCGAGAAGGAGAGCCAGAGTCCCAAGCAGGCTCTGTGCCATCAGCGCACAGCCGAATGAGGGGCTCAAACTTAGGAAACGTGAGATCAGACCTGAGAGGAGATCAAGAGTCAGGCGCTTAACCAACCGCACCACCCAGGCGCTCCTCTAAAACTAACTTAAAATAGTACCTGCATTTGCAAAATATTATCTCTGAAATATCGCAGGTAGGCAGCCCCCGTTCTCCATAAGCCTCCCACAGATGAAGAACTGGCACTTCCCCACCCTCTTTTCTAGTCCTGTTCTCTTCACCACTGCAGACCCGGCATCACACACATCTTTGGCTGTGTGGCTGAGACCACTTTCCTTTGGAGCATTCTGTCCAGTCCCAGCCTCTACCTCTATCCTCAGGCCGGTGCCAGGGGGCAGGGGAAGAAGAACTGTGAGCAGAGAGGTGCAATGGGGGAAGGGATATTAATATCTCTACCGAGGGCCATGACAAGATTCTTGCCACCGCTGCTGGAGCTGTCACTGGCAACAGGGAAGAAAACCTGTGTCCTCTGAAAGAGAAGCAAAGGCACAAAGAAGAAGGAAAAAGAGGAAGCCAGGAATTCTATATTCCTTATCATCTCCTTTTTTAATTGCTATAGAAACTGTTAGACCCCGTTTTCGTCTTTAACCAGTCTTCAGGCTAGGAGCTTCCTACAACAAAGCTTCTTTCATTTTTCATTTTAGCTTTTAGAATGTTTAGGGAATATAAAGAGTTGCATTTTATTCTTTAATATACATGTCAGTGGAGACTTATGTCTTTTCCCTTTTAATCTCTATGAATATTCTACATTTTAAAGACTCTCAATTTTGTAGTTCTTTACATAAAAAACATTTAATAAAGATTGAAAATGATTAATCAGAATCAATATTTTTCTATCCTGTCAACGTGCTCCCATTCCTGATTGTATTTCATATCTTCACCATTTTTGGAAGCAGAATGGAATTGATGGTTAAAGCCTAAGTTAAGGTAGAGGAGTTAAATGGCTCAAGAGAACTCATACATCAATCTCTTTCCTTTACTTCAAGCACGAGGGAAAGTCTATTTTGTTAATATGTTAAAAAAAATCATGAACTAAACAAGCTTGCCTGATCATAATTTTCAGTAGGTGCACTCTAAGAAATGCCTGAGCCCAAATAAGGAAGATAGTAGTATTGGCAACCCGATAACTCAACATCCAGTATACTATCAAATATTTAGTAAAATACCTTCTGTTTTAATGCATTATGAAATTGTCTTTCCTTCCAAGAGCATTCAGTTTCAGTGTGGACTGATTTTGAATTCCCTGAGTGGTTATCAAAATGCAGTGATGGTGGAACAAACCAGAAAAGCACTGGTTTATTTTTATCTGGTTTGGCTATATTTGTGCAATCACTAAAGTGACAATGGGAAAAATACTTTAAAACATGTTGTTTCCAACTACGTTTTTAAATAACTATGTTTTTTGAATAAAAATTATGTCTTCGAGTAAAATTTTTTAAAATTTTGTTTGGCCATGGATCTTCAGATAGTCTCTTGGATTCAAGGCTAAGGTAATTATAGATCTAAAACATATTCTTAGAGGTGGGAAGAGTGAATTTCTGATCAGAAACAAAACATAGGTGTATTGTCTAGAGTCCTAAAAACATTCCATGATGTACTGAATGTGGGGCCTTGGAGGATTCTCAGGATATAACTGGATTCAATACAATCATTTATTTGATGTACCATGCAAAATATTTCAGTATGAAACTACTTATCTTGTTATTTACGCTCTTAAACTTCTAGAAAATACTGTTCTGCAGATGAAAATCATGCTTTACATACCACTGCCCCTTACTAAACAAATTGCAGAATAACATAAGACGAAACATAAACTATAAATGTAAGAAGACACACCAGAGTCTCAAAGTTCCTTCACCGTATCTGTGTCAGAAAAATAATATTTTTATGATTCTCTTTGGTTAACTTACCTCAGAATTAATATTTTTATTGGTATCCTCATGAGAGTTACACATAGGTCCGTTAATCACATCCTTCCAAGTTTTGGGTTGACTTAAGTCTTGCTGGGAATTTGGCTCTTCCATCTCAGAGGTCTCTGAATTATTAAGGAAGTAAAGAAGATTTCACCAAACTATCCTTCAAACTTAAATTGGGATGTGATTGTTACAAAAGAAAACTTCTGACAGGAAGCCTGGAGTCTAAGAATTTAAGCAAAGGGTACACACACTTTCTTATAGTTTCCTAAGTCTCACATATTTCTCTGCCCCTTCCCCTCATCACCTCCACTCCCCATCATCCACCTACTATCTTCTCCACACTCCTTCCCACACATGCACTCACGACACAACATGGATACTTCAAGCCCATCCTGGTGTATCGTTAGCAGATTTTAATGCCTTCAGGACAGGTGATCAGGAAGCAGAGATTCACTCATTACCTAAACTGGTTTTATCATTCCTTTACAATAGTCATAATAATAATCAGCAATTATTAATACTCCCTGTAGTCTCTAGGTGGATGGAAATTTCTATGTCTCAGGTTAATTGTGTTGTTTAAATGCTATTCTTATCACTAGGTGACTTCTCATGTTAGTGGTCTTAAAGTGAAATGTTACCCTACTAGATAAAATAATTTTTTTCTGTTGAAGTTTTGTGAGTACTGCCTGTGGGGAGAAGGGAGGTAGGAAGGAGTGAGATTAGGAAGAATCCACATAGTATATATGCTTCATCTTTTTAATGTAGCTTGTTGAACAAAAATTAATCTGCAAAGCAAAGAAGGCAATGCTAATGTAACAATTTCTTTTAAGTTGAAATATTCTAGAGATAGCATCTATTTGGGAATATGGAATTGGATCCCATCTTCATTTTGAAATATAAAATGACAGTTTTGTTTCTGTAACAATCCCTTCAAAACCAACAGTTAGGATGTCTCACCTATTATGTTTTCATTTCCCACTTCTTCCTTTACTGATTCCTTCTGTATCAATTTTCTTCCAAGTTTAAAGCCAGAAGACAGAAAGCATTTTGTAAACAGCTGTAAAAATATACACTTTTATTACTTTTTTTGTACAACCAAAGCAATTCAATAAAAATATAAGCACATATGCTAAAAAGTGAAAACTATAATTCATGCACACACATCAAGCAAATTAATTCAAAAGTGTTAAGGGAGTATTTTTCACAAGTTCATATTCTGTTGTATACATGAATGTAAATATGCATTTATTTATTTATTTATTTATTTATAACCAAACACTGCACCTATGTAAAAAGATGGGAATGATTACCATTCTCAGTTCAGCATGAGTCAAATCCTGGGCAGCACTTGACAGAAGTGTGTCCACTCCTCCCTTCTTCTTCCACATCATCAATCTTCGGGTCGGAGGAGCTAGTTCCAAAACCATGAGTGTGTCCGTAAAGGAAGTAAGCTGTTTATGCATAATTTTGCTACTGATCTCCTTGACTGGATCTATGAGCAATTTCCTCTTTTTCCCTTTCCTTTTCTCAGCAAGGTCTAAATATAAGAAATAGACACAACTGGGACTGGTTGTACAGCTGTGTAAAATGATATTCTAGGCAGTGCATACCTAAGAAATATCTACCACAATGCAACCTACAGAGTTGCCATGGGAAGAAAAATCCCTTTCTCTTTACTGAAAATTGTGCTTCACTAGGTTTTTGCAGAGCTAGAGTATCTCAGCAGCCAATAGCTGATGCATTTTGTAATGTGTTCCTTCAGGGTGCTTAGGATGGACTCTGTTGACCTGCCAGGTTGATAACTGAGGAATATGTGGAGCAGAGGACATAATGAGAGGGAAGTTGCTCAGTTCTGAAGTTCCCTAAAATATCTATCTAACAGGACATTCTGAAACATTAATTTGTATTTGTCCAGTATATTATTCTTCCCTCCTCCATTGAAATTCATACACAAATTCCAAGTAGGTAGCTAGGCCCATGGAGTTTCACTCCTTTAGGTCATTTTACCAGGTAAAAAGCAGAAGTCAAACTTTTCCTTAGTAAATATGCAAAGGGGGAGGGTTAGATTTCCCAGAATGGGTGAAGATCTGAGATCAGATGAAGCCAGAAGGAACAGTCACCTGCTTGCTAATGTGCCTTAGTAAAATTCTGGGAACATGACAAGATCTGAGAAGGGCTGGGGGTGTGATGACCCCAGAGGCTACACAGGCTGGGGCAGTAGGTACCACAAACTGTTTGGTTGATGACCAAAGTTTCCTTTCCACCTGCCACACCCCTCCCCCAAATTTTGATATCACGTGGCTTAGGGCAGATAGGGGAGCTGTACAGATTGAAATTTTTGCCAACCCAGTGGGATAGAGGCTCAGAGTTGAATGTAGTAAATAAAAAACTGGAATGCTTTATTCCTTGCATGCCTGAATTTATAACTGAAATTCATATCAATTATACTACCTAAAACTAGGATGTTCTTACAAGGTCAAGTTATATTCATATTTATTTTTTATTCCTAAAAATATGCTTGAGGTTAAATGTTAGAGAGCACAGACCTCTCTTCTGATCCTTTTGTTCTGCCTTATTTTATATGCATTTGCATGTTTATTTATCTTCCCAACCAGATTGTAAGCTTCTTAAAAGCAGGTACTATTGTTGGTGCCTGGGTGGCTCAGTCGGTTGAGGCTTCCACTCTTTGATTTCAGCTCAGGTCATGACCTCATGGTTTGTGAATTCAAGCTCCCCATTGGGCTCTCTGCTGACAGTATGGTGTCTTCTTGGGATTCTCTCTCCCTCTCTCTCTGCCCATCCCTGGCTTGTGTGCCCGTGTGCTCTCTCTCAAAATAAATAAACATTAAAAAAAAAAAAAAGCAGGTACTATGTCTTCTTCATTCCTGTGCCCAAAAGAGAGTAATAGTTCAATAACTACTGGCATTGAACTCAGTTTTAAATTTTCCATTTTCCCGAACTGGATATATGGTTTGACTAGAACTGACTATAATGAAAGAATCGCCCCAAATTTCCTCTACACTCTTTCCCTACTCTTTCCCTATTGTATTGCATATGTTATTACTAGGTTGGCTACTTCCTATAATACTTCATAGATTATCTCACAGTAAATAAGAGAGTAGTGTATCAAAAATAAAAAACAAAAACATGAATGACTCTGACCTGAAACATCAATTGGGTCAAGGGTAAATCCATGTTCTTCATTTGATAATGTGATTTCATCCATTTTTTCATTTTCAGGTAGACATATATACTCTGAATTATCTGGTTCTACCATAAGAGGAATTATTAGAAAAATAAGAGTTATGTTTAATCTAGATACTTATATGAGAATGAAAGCAAAAGATAAATTAATTGAAGATTTATATTGCTAACTGGAGCCCAATCTGATGTTTCGAATCACAAGTACTTAAGAGAGTTGAAGAGACACAGAGATTATATGGTCTGGGACCCAGTGCCTAGGTGAGTCGTGCACTGTCACCTTCTTTTGCACATGTGACATCTAAGGCTGGATGTAGAAACAGTGGTAGAAACTTAGTAGAAACAGTGGTAGCAACCACAATAAATGACTGACATATATTTGATTATATGTCTGCTAAAAAATTTGTATTCTGTTAAATCTCTTAACTATTAGTTGACCCATAAAGGACCATAAATAAATTTATATCATCTCTCTTTTTCACATTTTAAATTTCTACTATGTGTTAGGAGGGAAATGTAACATCAAAAACAGTGAGGAGTCAAAATGGGACTATTTGTACTTTTAATTCTTAAGAAAAATCATACAAAAGTACTTCAAATGATCTGAGGTAGCTTCACTTGGATTTCAAGTAGAAAACATGCCCATATTTGTAATTTCTCTCAAATTGTGTACAGATTGCCCAATTATACTAATGTTAATATGGTATTAATATTAATAATTAATAACCATAGTAATGTCAAACATTAGTGATGTTTCTAACATGTAACATATTATTTTATTTTATTTTATTTTTTTTATTATGAATATTTTATTTTGGATTTTAATCTATATTTATATGTCATACCATTTTACAATTCTTCTTGTATTCTTTACCCCTCTTCTTATTTTAAAATTATGTCTTACCCATAAAGCAAAATGAATAAATCATCTTCTTATTCTAAAATGTATTGCATAAGAGAGGAACAATCTTTTTCTTGGGTAATTATTATTATTATTATTTTTTTACAAATAGTTTATTGTCAAATTAGTTTCCACATAACACTCAGTGCTCATCCCCACAAGTGCCCTCCTCCATGCCCATCCCTCCTCCCCCCCACATCCATCAGTCCTCAGTTTTTGTCAGCATTCAAGAGTCTCTCATGGTTTGCCTCTCTCCCTTTCCCCCACCATTTCCGCCCTTCTTCTCTCCCTTGTTCCTCCATCAAGTTCCTCCTAATCCTCCTATACGTGCAAACATATGATATTTGTCCTTCTCTGCCTGACTTATTTCGCTCAGCATAACACCCTCAAGGTCCATCCATGTTGCTACACATGGCCAGATTTCATTCTTTCTCATTGCCGTGTAGTATTCCATGGTATAGATAAACCACATCTTCTTGATCCATTCATCTGTTGATGGACACTTAGGCTCTTTCCATGTTTTAGCTATTGTGGAGAGTGCTTAACATATTATTTTAATGACTCAAAAGCATAGTGTTTTCTCAGAGTATTTAGATGCGCTGTCATATCAAATAAACCCAATACTGGTTAAATGCCATTGTTGTATCTTTCTCGAAACCCAGTTTCCTATTCCCTATTGTCTACAGTCAGACTCAAGAGAGTTTGAGTATATTACATCACTACTTAAACTGAGGAAGTTGTAAGGTTTAGTTTGAACATCAGTATCTGTTCACTTTCTACACAAAAGATAATTTCATCATACCCACTATAGTGTCAGGAGGCTCAGGAGGCATGGAAATTTCTCCGTTCAAATGCATGTCTTCTAACAGGATATTCTGATCATCTTGCAATAGATTGTCTTGAAAAGTACAAGAAATACTTTTGTCATACAGAATAGAATCTGTCATTTTTTTCACTAAACGTTTAATTGACATTATTGTATATAAGGATTATAAACAGATACAAAAAGGAATCAACCCTACTTAAGTAGATTTGATTGGCTACGTAGATTATCATATTTCATGCAGGATAGTATAGAATTTCATATATTTCATTTTCTTTCCCTTATTAAGTAGATGTTTAATTTCAGGACATATTTACTTAACTAATACCAAGATGATAATCTTGTTACAAAGTCATGTTTAAATTTCAGATCAAGAAGTGAAAGCTTTCAAACTGCTTTGGTAGATATCTAAGGTAGAACCACTATTTTTCCATAATTTGAAATTTCAAAAAGTTTGCCACAACCAGCCCTTTAAAGTAAACTAGAGAAGTTAGAAAAGACTTGCTATATTAACCATCAATATCTTTATTTATTTATTTTTTTAATGCTTTATTTATTTCTGAGAGAGAAGAGGGACAGCATGAGCAGGGGAGGGTCAGAGAGAGGGGGAGATACAGAATCTGAAACAGGCTCCAGGCTCTGAGCTGGCAGTCAGCACAGAGCCCAACGTGGGGCTGGAACTCACAAACCGTGAGATCATGACCTGAGCCGAAGTCAGAGGCTTAACCGACTGAGCCACCCAGGCGCCCCTACCATCAATATCTTTAAAATAGAGGTATGTGTATTCAGATTTCCCAGTTTTTGTCTACCCCATTTCTATGATTATTTTATAGTAACATCATAATATAAATATAAAAATATAATATAAAATGTTGGACAGATCCTTAGAATAACTGTTTCACAATTTCTGTTAAGGAAACAATGATTCCAATATATGATCTAATATATTTTGTGAGGAAATATACTAAACTCACTCCTTTCCCTCTAAAAATTAGGAATTTGTAAAAATAAAAACAAGTAGTATTTTATAACCTTTAGGGAAAATGTTTTTAAATAGATGCCTATTTACTTAGACCTAGCTTAAATGTTTAAATACACCACAGACTTTAAAAATGTATGTAAAAAATGAATTGATTAAAAAAAAGTGTATTGATTTAGGGGTACTTAGGTGGCTCAGTTGGTTAAATGTGTGGCTCTTGATTTCAGCTCAGGTCATGACCTCACTGTTCATGGAATAGAGCCCCAGATCAGGCTCTGTCCGGGCAGTGTGGAGTCTGTTTGGGATTCTATCCCTCCCTTTCTCTCTGCCCCTGACCTGCTTGCATGTGCACATGCTCAGTCTCTCTCTCTCTCTCTCTCAAAATAAATAAATAAATAAATTTTAAAGGCACTGATTTATATGACACAGAGGCATACCTGAGAATTTAGTTTGATATAATAAGCCTATTAATACATTCTTAGAATGATTGAAATAAATATCCAATTTCTTCTTATTTTAATACCCAATTTCTATATAACCAGAAAACATACCGATCATCTCTCCTGCAGCTCCTTCATCTCCAAATCCATCTCCACTGTCATAGAACAGAGATTTTTCTCCAATGAGGCTTCCAGAACTAGGTTCAACTAAAGGACCACTGGAATTCAGCAATATGTTGTCATCAAAAAAGCTATGTCTTCTGAGAATTTCAGATTCCTCTCCTAAATAAATATAGATCATTAACGCTGAGTTAGCCATAGAAACATAGAGTTTTAGAGTTAGATGGAAATTTAGGTATCTTCTTGTACAGCCCCTCCCATTTTGCAGATAAGAAAAATGAGAGCTCAAAAACTTATTTGAATTACTCAACTAAAGTCAATCAGTTAATCAGTGGAGGCTGGATTTCTAGTCTAACATTTTTTCCAAAACAATAGGGAAAAAAACATCAGGATAGAGTTTTTAGTTGTGGTTCAATTTAATAATTTCCCAGAATGACTCCTTCTACTTTAGATAGGTCATGTCCTGCTTGATCAAGTATTATTTAATATTATTTCAAGCACAATTTCTTGCATTGTTTGTCCACAGTGGGGTTTGGAAAATAAGGAGCATATCTGCCTTCTTGGGAATGGAAAGGTAGGTAAAATATTAAAGGATGGGCTTACAACATTCATCCAATAAGTATTTATTGAATGACTGGGTATTAGGCAATTGGCTAGGGATTAGAGATACAGTGATAAAAAACCCAATCAGCTAACATTAACTGAGTACTTACTATGTGTATTATATTATGTAATAGAAGATGCTATTATAATCCTAATTTTACAGACAAGGGAACACGTCCATAGAAAGGTTTTATAATTTGCACACAGTCATACCCTAATAAATGACAAAGCTAGGATCTGAATCCAGCAGACACAGTGATAGTTAAAACTTCCACTGGTAAAATATCTTGCAAAATGGAGACTTATGAGAACAAACTCCTAAGGCGCTGACACCAGCAGATAAAATGAACTCTCTGCTTCAAACCGACTTGCTTTCACATTGGTTGTCAGCACATGTATATTCTTTCCCTTCCTTGCGTTTGAATCTCTAGGTCCAGGAGTCTGAAACCCTAGAGATCAGACAGAGGTTGGTGTTCTCCTCCCTTTCTCAACAACCCACGTTAGTGCTAGTTAGTAAACAAAATCATGAAGTATCACTTATATTAAAATGAATATAAGTTGATAAAATGAAATAAAGTTGATAAAACAAAAAAGGTGATAAATTGGTAGAGGGCCTTGAGGATAAGCAGGGGTGTCTAAAGTAAGTCATAGGGACTCAAGGTGCTTCAGTAGAGGAATGTGATATGAAAAAAAAATTCGATTTAAGAACAATTGCTCTTGCAGAGATACATAAAATGTGGGAAGAGACTGGGAGATACGTAGGAGGGTATTACAGTACTCGAGGTCTTTAGTACTGGTGAACTATGCTGGTGGCTAGAGAAATAGAAAGAAGACCTAAGAAGCATTTCCAATTTGTCGTTGTTGTTAATCAGCACTGGTATGAAGCTTACAGAAAGTGCAGTTAAAAGTGGTCCTAAAGTTTTAGGCCTAAAGAACAGTAGCAGCGTTTACAGGGAAATGTGTAAAGGGTGTCTTGGCAGTAGGAAATATGATTAACCCTTTGTCAGTGTATTACTCTCTGGGGTTACAGAGAGTAAGAGATCCATGCTACTCAAAATACAGTCTGTGGGTTGGTGCTTGTCCACGACAGAGTAAATACACAAATTAGAGGTAAATGTTTAGAGCATTTTAAAGCAATTTCACAGAGTAATTTGAATTATATGTTGAATTTAATAACAAAACATTGAAGCATGTATTTTGATTTTTAAACTTTCAATTTTCTGGTAATCAGCTTTTTAATATTTTACAAAAGTATCATTCTACGACAGACTGGAAGTTAACCAAAATTCTAAAACTTGTCCCGCACCACAGATCATTTAAGAGCACAGCTATAGATCATAAGAGTTATGGAGAAAGAGTAAGGATGAGAAGCGGAGGTTGGAGATGTAGCTCAAGCATTACTGCCTTGACCACCCTCCCCAGGGAACACAGAGTAGGCCACCCTTCTATGCTCACTTGCTTTGGGCACTGTAAGAGAGCTAAAGATGAATCCGACACAGATTTTCTCCTCATGGAGTTTTCAGACCAATACAGGATGTACATAATATCATAGTTCAAGACAGAGGGAAATGCCATAAAAAGAACAAATAATATATACCTCTAATTATAAGATATACTCAACAGTTTGTTTCATAATCAATGACTATGTATTTAGCATGTGTTATTTCCTCCTCAGTCCTAAGCCATGCTAAAATATTTCATTTTACAATTGATATTATATATTGGAGGAATTTTCATATTTTAAAGGCACTATATATAGCATACATGTAAAACCCTATATATATGGTTATATATAATACATATATGTATACATATACACATATTATTATGGATATATGTATATACACATATATTACTATGTGTATACATACATACACATATATTACTATAATATATTACATATATATATATATTACACACTCACACACACACATATATTACTACAGCAAATGTTTATTTGCATGTCTCTCTCCCAGCCTGAAGCTCTTTGTGAGCAGAAAGTGCTTCTGCAAACTTTGTACTGCCTATGCCTATGATAGAACATGACATATAGTAAGTATTCAATAAATGACTGCAGACTAAGAAGGGAAGTTTATAGTCTAAGACTGAGTCTTGGCATTAACACCTATTTAGAAAAAAGTAAAGACAAACCTGCTGAGAGTGGCATTTAGACATTAAGAGATCCATTCTAAAGATAGCTATTTCTATTGACACGGTTTCAATACAAAAATGCAAATATAATTGACTATGGCTTGTGATTTTAATTTCTCAAAGATTCTCACCAAAGCTCCCAGCTTGGAAAAGTAGATCATTAGCATAATCTTCTCTAAGTGTGATTTCTTCTGGTCTGCTTTGGTTCTGAGTAAAGTGTTCTGAAACATCAATAGCACTATGGAGAAACATAAGATTTGGGAAGATTGAGAAAAATATGCCAACAGAACACAAGGGTTTTGCAGTATACCGGCAAAAGCCCAAAACTCTAAAACAAAAAACAGGTTTTATTATGAAAATAAAGACTTTTATTTTCTCAATAGTGTTATTTATAAACACTGGTTGATTACACATGTATATATACAAATGGTCTCTGGGCTGCCAAATCCAATGGTCAGTTCTCAGTCCTTTCTTATTCTAACCACCGCATCTGAAACACATATTCACTCCCTCACCGAACACGTTCTTCTCTGCACCTCCAGGATACTACTTTCTCTTGAGTTTTTCCTTACCTCACTGGCTGCTCCTTTTCTATCTCCTTGATTAGTTCTTCCTCATCTCCCAGACTATTAGCTATTAGGAATGACCCAACACTCTGTTCTCAGCTCTTTCTCTTTTAAAATAATTACACTCACTCTCTGGGGGGTTGAAATTCCAACTATATACGCACAACTCCTAAATTTATATATCCCGTCCAGACCTCCTTCCTGAATTTCAGACCCAGATATTCGACGACTTGCCTGCTCCCCTTGGATGTGAAACAATCATCTCTAAAGCCCAGTTTACCCATGACTATAGTCATCCTTCCTTTCTCTTCCCCTTAAAGCCATATCCAATTCTTCAGCAAATCCTGTCGGCTCAGTCTTCAAAATATATTCATAATTTCACTGCTACCACCTTGATAACATGAAGACTGAGAAGTGACCACAGACACTGTCATTTCTCACCTGGACTTTTTTTTTTTTTTTGGCAGAGATAGCACCATTTATTAAGGAAGGTCAAGACAATGACCATAGGGGAGTCCCTTCTAGGACACAGAGGGCAAGCATCCTGACCCCACATTTGCGGGCTACTGGTGGGGAGGGCACATGTCCCCAGTTGGGCTCTCAGGCTCCCACAGATAGGCAGAGGTGCCATGTCCCCTTCCTGTCCCTCCCAGGCATGAATCAAGGCACTAACTGTTTTCAATGCCCTTCTCTGCCCGTGTATCCTGCGCCTTCACTTCCAAATCAACAGTGGGGGGAGATACGGCCTGGCATGAGGTGGGGAGACCCATTCCATGCTGGACTCTGCCTGTAGCAGCTCCTGGTAAGAGCTGGGGTGAGGTTTCCCTTGCAGCCCTGAGTAGGTGTTGGGTAGGAGGGTCATCTGGACTTCTTACTGAAATAATTTTCTCATAGGCTCGCTGCTTCCTCCCTTTCCCACTTACACTAAGTAGCCTGAGGGACTATGCTGAAATCAAGTCAGATGTGTCACTCTCCTATTTAAAACCCTCCCGTGTTCCCTATCTGAGTAACATAAAAGTTCTTATTGGGGCCTACAGCACTCTACATCTTTGCACCCCCAGCTACCTCTCTCGCCTCATCTCCTACCACTCAGACTCTCATGGCCTCCGTGCTGTTCCCTGAACAGGTCCAATGTGTTCTGCCTTAGGGCCTTCTCACTTGCTCTACATGGAACATTCTTCCCCACATTACTGAATGATTTGTTCCTATACCTTCCTCAGGTTTCAGTTCTGACCTTATTAGAAGAGCCTTTCCTGAGAATCCTATCATTTTTTTTCAATTGTTTCTTTTCATATTGCTGATCATTTACTGGCATATTTCTTTGTTTATTGTCTGTCTAATATGTAAGATTCACGCAGACAGAAGCTGTTGTTCAATGTCTTCAGTGTCAAGAGCTGCTCCTGGCATATGGAAGGCACCCAATAAATATTTGCTGAATGCATGGAGGAACATACTGTTAATATCACAAATTACATTCAGCAAATACAATGATACATTTTTGTTGTTATTTTTCAAAATTTCCCACTGAATTTAAGTCTTCTCAACTGTATGTATATTTCACTTCTTAACTAGATTCCACTTGTATTCATAAAATCTGAAGATGAAAGCAAGAAAGTCAAATTGAGGGGGTTCCCGGGGTGGCTCAGTCAGTTATGCCTCCAACTCTTGATTTTAGCTCAGGTCATGATCTCAGTTAGTGGGACTAAGCCCCTGCTTGGGATTCTCTCTCCTCTCTCTCTCTGCCTCTGCCCCACTCACCTGCCCTCTCTCCCTCTCTCTCAAAATTGATCAATACACTTTTTGTTTTTTAAAGGAAAATCAAATTGAAGGAAAATAAATCATTTACTTCACATTTTGGGTGTCAAAATCATGAAACTCTTCTGGCAATGTGATAGCATTGTAAGCAGCTTCAAAATTCTCTTTTGGAAGGTCAACCAGTCCTGAAAAGAATAAAAAACCACATCCAATGAGCAATAATGCTATGTAAGATAATTAACTCCCAGTTCTTGCCCTTCTTCAGGCCCATTCTCTACGAACAACCAGAGTAATATTAAAAAATATTTTAAAAGCAATCATATCAGCTCACTCCCACGCTTAAAGTGACTCAGTGACTTCCCTAGCGTATTTAAATAAAATCCAAATTCCTAATCAGGGCCTCTGCAGCTGTACAAACCTATCAGCATCATCTAAGGACTCTTTCCCTCACTCACTAGACTCTAGTCATACTGGCCTTTTTGTTCCCTGAACAAGTTGAGCACTTTCCCCCCCCAAGACCTTTGCTCTCACAGTTCCCTCTGCCCAGAATGCTATTCCCTCAGGGACTTTTTACAAGGCTGGGGACTTCTCATTCTTCAAGTTTGAGCTTAAATTCTATCCTCTCTGAAAAGCTTTTTCTAATTAGTCTAGTGCAAGTAAAGTTTTCTATTTTTTGTTGTAATATGCTGCTTAGATTCCTTCATAGCACAATCACAATGTACAATTATTATAATAATTTTAAAAAACTTTTTTATTACCTGATATCCTCTCCAAACTGAAAGGGACCTTATTTGCCTTATTTGTCCTTGTATCCCAGAGCCTTAAATAGTGTTTGGCACAAAATATGGGATCAATATATATTTTTGGATTATATAAATGAAATAATAAACATATGAACCATATTTGATACGAGTATAAAAAATCTATGCTGAGAACTTACAAATATTTTAAATAAAGAAAAAAAAACCTGTCAACCCCGATTCAACAAATATTGAGGGAATAGTATGTTCAAGGCACTGAGACAAGTACTATAAGAGGTTTAGAAAATATTACAACAAAGATGTTGCCTTCAAGGAACTTGCAAACTAGTATGAGAGACAAGGCCTGTACCCCAATAACTATAATACAAGGTGGAAATGATGAAAGTCTTAAAATTAAATTAAAATCTGAAGGCCTGATATTTATGACACATGTAAATCCCTAGCATTCTGGAAGGCCTAGAGATTTTCTATAATATTTTGGGGTGCCTGGGTGGCTCAGTTGGTTAAGCGTCCAAATTTGGCTCAGGTAGTGATCTCACGGCTAGAGAATTCGAGCCCTGTCCGTATTGGGCTCTGTGCTGACAGCTCAGAGCCTGGAGCCTGCTTCAGATTCTGTGTCTCCCTCTCTCTCTGACCCTCCCCAACTCGCATTCTGTCTCTCTCTCAAAAATAAATAAATCTTAAAAAAAATTTTATGTTTCATAAATAGTCTGCTACTTAGAGTTTTGAGAATTCTGAAAACAATGACAATTACGATATCCAGGCTTTGTCAATTACATTATTTCTCTTTTTTTTCTTTTAATGTTTTATTTATTTCTGAGAAAGAGAGAGAGACAGCATAAGCAGGGGAGGGGCTGAGAGAAAGGGAGATACAGAATCTGAAACAGGCTCCAGGCTCTGAGCTGGCAGTCGGCACAGAGTCTGACGCGGGACTCAAACCCACTGACCGTGAGATCATGACCTGAGCCGAAGTCAGACGCTTAACTGACTGAGCCACCCAGGTGCCCCTCAATTACACTATTTCTAATTTATTTCATACAGGCAAAAACAGATACAGTAAATTAAGCAATCCATTAAAAGTGAATATCAGAATTTCTTACATAAGTGTGGTAGCTTTACATAGATTTTTAATGTCAATATGCAGGAACTTTGCAAGTGTTTGAAAGCACAACTGGTTCCTGCAAACACAGGAAAACAGCAAGGGAAAGAATATAATTTGTCCTTAACCACGGAAACTTAGAATCAGTGAAAAGGAAGTTTATATTCACATACACACCCCTGAATTACAGAGTGCCACCAATTAAAAGAGCCCACCCAAAATAAAAATGCAAAAGGGAAGCAAGATGAGTGAGACAAATCAATGTTCCAAGCATACCTGGGCGAAATGTCATCTTCATTTTAAGCAATGCTTCATTGCAATCTGCCAAAAGATATTTTGCCTTCCTATTATAGATTCGCACAACTCCCAAAAGAAGGTGTCCTGAAGTTCGAAGTGCAATTTTCACCTTTCAAGAATTTTTAAAGCATTAGAACATTAAGCATTAGATTCATAAACTCTGTTTGAAAATTATAAAATCATAGAATTTCCTCTTTTTAAAAAGAAGACATTCTGTATTCTTATTTAGAGTGAATCATTTGGGGTGCCTGCGTGGCTCAGTTGGTCAAGCATCCCACTTCGGCTCAGGTCATGATCTCACGGTTTGTGAATCCGAGCCCCTTGTCGGGCTCTGTGCTGACAGCTCAAAGCCTGGAGCCTGCTTCGGATTCTGTGTCTCCCTCTCCACCCCTCCTCCACTTGCACTCTGTTTCTCTCTCAAAAATAAACAGTAAAAAAAAAAAGTGAATCACTTAACTTCTAACTTATCTTGTAAAATGATTAACTTTTGTTCTTATTCAATGAAGAGACTCTAATGTGCCATTTAAGTGAAATATGTGATTATTAGTTTCACGGAAGAATATAAACTCTGCAGTCAGGCAGACTTGGGTTCAAGTTTTGGCCCAGGTGCTGAGGCTTGAAGTTCAATCTTCTTGAACTTCAATTTATTAATAATGGCTACAACTTATTATATACTTATTTTGTGCCAGGAATTGTCCTAAGAGCTCTTCATATATTATGTAATTTTGACATGAACCTCCATTTACAGAAGAAAAATGCCTGAGATTCAGATATGATAAGTAGCATGGCCAAAGTAAGACAACTACTAAGTGATGAAGCAGGAATTAAGTTTGACTAACTCAGAAAGTTCATGCTCTTAACTACCACACTTCACTGAGGCTGAAAGAAGCCCATCTCACAGAGTTGATGTGAAGATTCAATGATCTAATGAACATAAAGTCTAGCCCAGTGCCCGACACATGGAAAGTTTTCAATTATTATTCATCCTTCTTGCAAGCAGAAAAATACTTGACTTCTAAAAATATTAAAATCATATTTTAATACAAATTCTAATATCATATTGTTTTATTACGAACATAGTACTTTATGAAGTGTTTTCACACATATTTTCATTTATACTCAGTTATCCTTTGTTTCCACTCTCCATATTCATTCACTCACTATTTTTCTAAGAAATACTTATTTGGTACCTACTGTGTCTACAGTATTTTGTTAAGGGAGTAAGAAAGGATTACAAGACATGTACAAAACATGACCTTCCTCCTTCAGGGTCTAATCTATTTATGATAAACGTATGAAAACAGTTAGCTACCAACAGAAATCGACATATGTCTGTGCTCAGGTAGTAAATGTTATAGGAATGAAAAGAGAGAAACCATTTCGGAAGTAATACTTCCTTGGAAATGCATTTTCTGATAGAACATATTTTAGTTCCTTTCCTCTCCATAAGTCATGCCAGATACATACTATAATTTGAATCAATAACATACCTTAGGTGAAATAATTCTTTCAATGGTTATCTCTAGATTGCATTCAAATACATGAGCCTTTGTGAGTTTCTTCTCCCAGTGAGCTGCAAGCCAAATTTTGGCCAATGGCCCTCGCTTACTCATAAGCACATGTGTGTAGAACATGTTGTCTATATTCCTTAGGAGTATTTAACATAGTAGAGAGAACATTAAAAGATATTTAAAATTTGGTTACAAAAACATTTCAGTGCTATTTCTTAGCAAAAACACTCTTTATCAATTTTAAACAGATTATCTTCCGATTCAAGCTGTTATTCACTTCAGTTTCTTGCAAAGAACACATTATTTAAAATACAAAATTGTAAACTAATGAGAGCTCTTAGATTGTGAACCACACCTGTTTTAAATGTATTCTGATCACTGATGTTCTTACATTCTACTTATTTTATGCTGCAAAGGATTTGAGTTCTCTTATTAATATGGTCAAATAAATAGAGGAGGAAGCCTGGGGAAAAAACAAGAGATGGAAATAGGGGGAAAAGAACAGAACAGGAAAAGGTGCACAAAACTAAGAAAGGCAAACACCTCTCACCTCTTTTCTAAAACTTAGGAAACTGAGAAATGTTAGACTACTGACTTATAACAGGGTATTGAATTTCTTTGTTTTCTTCAAGATTCTCTGGTTTATTCAACAACTTGTTAACTTTTGAAGTTAAAATAATGGAACTCGAAAGGACAATAAAGTGGAAAAATGAAGAAAACAAGAAACAAAAGGAAAAGAATCGAAAGGCAAGAAAGGAAACAAGAATCAAATTTAAATGTTTTCAAACAAGAATGGTGAAAGAAAACCTTCACTTAGAGCTGAAACAATTTATGCACATTTCTACAAACTGTAGTATCTACGAGAATAACATAAGGCTCCTTTAAGGAAAGGGATATTATAATACCTTGACTTCCAGAGAAGAATCAAGTTATTGCTCACATATAAGAAATCCTAAGCTTCCACTATAAAAGTTTTATGAACGTATAAAAGGTTTTGTGTTTTTTTTGCTTCTTTTCTACTTAAAGTCCTGCCTAAATGAGAAAACTGAGCCAAAAGGAACACCAAAACACTCAGCCACAGAATTCAAAATTCAGGTGAACTTTGATCAATGCCCATTGCCACCCCAAAAATCAAATCACTGTGCCCGAAACGAAAAGCTAGGCAATGTACCAAACCACATTTTCCAACAGAAGAGCTGGAGATTTTAATGTTTATGGCCTGTGCCTGCGTTGGTTTCACTTCCTTCTTTTCTATGCTGTTTGGTATCTTGGAATATACTCCAGTTTATCTTATAAAATTGTTCCAAAATTATGTGGTTATTGACGTTGTTTTAAGGAAAACCAAGTTTGTGATTTAATTTTCCTGAGACACTGACTTTCTCAAGTACATATTCCACCCTCCCCACCTTCCCGCCACCCCCAAAGGTTCTTTCTGGATTGGACTGGCATCGCGCACAAGGTGGAGCTGGCGAGAACCAGGGAACTGGGAGCCAGGGCCAGGCACTGAGGGGACTACTTGGGGGAGAGGGAGGAAAGGGGAGGGGCAGGGGGAGGAGGGGCGGGGAGGAGGGGGAGGGGAGGGGGAGGAGAACGAGGAAGGGAGGAGGGAGGAGGAGAACGAGGGGAAGGGGGCGAGGCGGAGGAGGGCGGCCGCCCGCAGGAGGGAGTGAGGGGCGCAAAGCCGAGCGGGCGGGACGCTCAGGGACAGCGCCAGAGGGCCAGCTCCTTCAGGGGGGGCAAAACGGGGTGCGCGACAAGGAAAGGGAAGGCTCTGGAGGCGACGTGGGGGGGGTCCCCGGCTGTGAAGGAAAGCCGGCGAGCGCCAGGGCAGGGACGCCAAGGGCTTCCTCCACAAACATCTCCTCAGACTTCAAGGCCGGCTGCTCAGAGAAACTGAGGCCAGAGGGGTGGCCCCCCGCGCGGGGAAGGAGCGCCAGGTCACGCCTCCAGCCCGAGAGGGCTGCAGGCGACCGGATTTCTCGCGCGCGCGCGCCCGCGCGCGCGGTCCGCAAGGCTCGCGCCGCCGAGGAGCCTGCGGGGCGCGTGTCGGGGTGCCGGTGGCCGCGCCCCCCAACACTCGGCCCGCCTTCAGCGCCCGGCTCCCTCCCGGCCCCTCAGACAGCGCCCTACTTTCGGCGCCGGTTCTGAGGAGAGGTGCGCCCAAGCTGGGACTGGAGGACAAGTCGCAGGGGTCCGCGCGTCGAGTCGGAGACTGCACGCTCCCGGAGCTGCCGGGCGTCTGCGAGGGCGCGGCGGAGTGACGGGCGGGGTGGCAAAGGACGGGGCGGGGTGGTGGGAGGGGCGGGGGGCGGGGCGGCAAGATGGGCGGGGCAGGAACCAGGGACGGGGCGGGGCGAGGGGATGGGGCGGGGCGAGGGGCGGAGACCGGCCGGACCGTACAGGCCAGGCTTGCAGTCTCTTGCGCGCTGTGCCTGCACTGAGTTCTAATCTAAGACGGCACCGGTGTGTGGGAGGGGGTGGGAAAGGGTGACAGGGGCGGGGCCGGACCCTACAGAACAATTCTGAAAGGTGATCTGACCCCTCCGCCCGGTCTTCCTAGGATGGACTCTCCTCTTCCCCTTACTACCCTAAGGGATCCTTGGAGAAGTGATTCATATGTTGAAATCCGACCCCCCAAGGTGCTGATATGAAGCAGTGGGGCTTCGGGAGGTGATTTGGCCACAAACCTCATGGATGAGGTTAGTGCCCTTACAAGAGGCCCTGCAGAGCTCCCTCACCCCTTTGGCCACGTGAGGACACAGCCAGAAGAGGTGTCTGTGAACCAGGAAGCAGGGTCTTGCCAGGCACAGAATGTGTTAGCACCTTACTCTTGGACTTCCCAGCCTCTAGAACTGTAAGAAATGTAGGTTTGTGTTTTAAGCCACCCAGCCTGGGGTTAGTTTGTTGTAGCAGCCCGAAAAGACTAAGACAAGAGGGACCTGTTTCCATGGTTCACGGTTGCTTTCATCTACAGTAAGGTCAGGAATACACCTCCTGGCCACTGTGGACTCATCCTGCACTGTGAGGTGAAGGTGCAAGGCCTTCCGATGACATATTAGGGCCCAGCATCAAGAGTATGTGCATCGTGGGTGGGAAACGGGATGTGAAACATACAGAGCCAGAAGCTAGTCTACCAAAAACTCTCCCAGTCATCACACATGGAGAGGATTTGGTTCTCAGCAAAGCCTAGTTAAAGCAGAAGTTCTTTACTGTCAGGAATATATTGGGCAGTGCAGCCTATGCAGTTAAGCATGCACTGGTGTCTTTTCCTTCCTTTCTAAGAAGAACGGCATAAACTAGAAATATCAGAGTTCTGGGTTTATAGGCTGTGTCTCAAAGACATAACAGTATTATAAACAGCTAGCATATCCATGTGGGAAGTTGGATGTTTCATGATCTCATTGTATTGGGTCATATGTACTTAGCATTCCTGCCCTAGCAATATCTGAAGCTTACTGGTAAAATGGCCTACAAATCATAACAAAAGTAGTAATTCTTTGAGAAGAATCGATACAACCAGTACTACACCAAATGTTAACTAGCTTGAATTAAAAAAAATAAAGAATAGGTACATTTTAATTCAAAGTAATGAATAGACTTGGATTGTTTAATAATCTAGTTAATTTAATGGAGTGAATTATAAAATTCCCTAGGAAAAGATTAAAATTTCTCACTTATTTGACATGAAATACTGACATGGATAAAGATTTCTTTTTGGGGGAAGGAAGTGATATTGACAAACTGGTTAGGGTGCTTTCAACTCAGAGTACTTGAAATTAGTCACTACTGGGTGCCTGCATGACTCCAACTTTTGATTTCTGCTCAGGTCATGATTTCACAGTTTGTGAGATCGAGCCCCACATCGGGCTCTGCACTGACAACGTGGAACCTGCTTGGGAATCTCTGTCTCCCTCTCTCTCTCTGCCCCTATGCTGCTTGTGCATGCACTCAAGGGCACACTCAATCTCTCTCTCTCTCTCTCAAAAATAAATAAATAAGCATTAAAAAAATTAGTCGCTACTGTACATAAGAAGACTCACGGCTCTTACATAAAAGAAACTTATGTACGACAAATGTGACAATAATCTGAAAATTTTACATGACATTAAGCTTTACAACCTAAATAAAATTGTTTAAATTGTCCACAAAATAGTTAATTGATCTTGTAAAGACCGATTACCTTCCTTATCTTTATAGAAAGACAAGAAAATCATTGTTTTGTGACTGGATGATCATAGAATACACAGCAAAAAAATAAATAATAAAATAAACAGAGCAAAATTATCATAAAACCATATCATGCAGCTAATTAATGAAAATATTAAATGTCTCTAGAATGTATGGTGTTTGTGATATTTGTTAGCTTTATAAACTCTGTAATTTGTGGGGCGCCTGGGTGGCTCAGTCGGTTAAGTGTCTGACTTCAGCCTAGGTCTTGATCTTGCAGTTTTTGAACCGCGTGTTGGTTTCTGTGCTGACAGCTCAGAGCATAGAGTCTGCTTTGGATACTGTGTCTCCTCCTCTCTCTGCCTTTCCCATGCTCCTGCTCTGTCTCTCAATAATAAATAAATGTTAAAAAATTTTTTTAATTCTAATTTGTTATTTCTTCTGTAATTCTCTTAAAAATTCTCTTTCTAACCTGGTTCTGTAAGACTTGTATTCTGTTTCTTTAAGAAGAGTATCCTAGATCTTAAAAGCTTCAAGTCCCACAAAACCTGGTCCTATCCCTGATCAACTCTGTTCCCCTTGCTTCCTATACTCTAGCCATATTGGATTCCCTCTGTGCCCATTACTTAAGAAAGTGCCTGGCACATAGTAATACCAGGAAAATATTTGTAGATGGATGAATGACTCAGAAACTGGAATGCTAGAATGTTAAGTACATGAAAACATACATTTTGTCAGTTTGATTCATTGCTACATTCCCACATCTAGAATATTGCCTGGCTTATAGCAGGTGCACAATTCATATTTTTAAAAAATGAATCCAGTCCTATTCGACCACAGGTAATGCTTCTTTCCATTGCCTCCAATTATTCTCAGTTTACAAAGCACTTTCTCAAGATCCTCTCCATAGCTCGGAGAGGTGTAATTTGTCATTTTAGAGTTAAGGTTAAATGGAG